ATGAATGTTTGCATGTGCAGTTAACACTTCCTTATACAGCTTTAAATGGAACATACTTCAGCTCTAACCACAAATTCTGGTTGTCTACTGTCAATAAAAAGTAACTCTGTGCATGTACAGTACTAACTACAAGGAAATACTCCTAAACCTTATCAGCACCCCGAGATTTTACTTAGGACAGTATGGAGCCGACCAAGAGATATATTCTATTGTGAACAGAATATGTTCTTTATAAACCTTTTATGAAGCAGGGATTAAGTTGTTTATTTCATATGTAATGCATTATGGAGGTTGGTTGGGTTCAAAGAATCTCAGAAGGTTAATGGTATGAGCTACTCATGCACAAATTTCATCTGTATTCATTATTATATCTGAGTTTATTCTAAATATTTAATTTACATTGTTGATCACATTAGTATTAAACTTACAAGGATGGCATTTTGGAGAGATGTCTTTTGTAGTCAGTTTCTTGTATTTTTATGTTTCCAGTTAATTTGATAAGTAGATTTCTCACTGTATATTAAAAGAGGTTAGAATGATGTTTAGCCTGTTTCATTAAATTTTTTGATATATAATAGATAATTTGCTAACCCTGTAACTTGATCATTTCAGGGCCTGCATACATTTGGAGCTTCACAGGTGGCAGTACCTAAGAAAGCAGGTGAGACAGCTCATGATATGCTATATCACTACCAAAGCTTTTAGTTAAGGACAATTTTGTTATCTTTTTACTCATTGTTTTAGCTATCATTTTGGTAGGTTTTGCCAGTGACTGAAAATTATGATGAAAAGCGGGTAATAGTTTTTGACTTGTTTCCAGACTGAAAGTATGATTGTCCTGTAAAATTGTGATTGTGTTAGCTTAGGCAGAAATTACACACAGCAGAAGCTTCTAGTAACAGGAGTTTGTTGTCACTTGGTGCGGAATGTTTTAGGTGAGCCAGATGTGAAATTAATTAGTATAATTTTGTTCATCAGTACAGACTGATACATTATAGCTAGAACTCCAGTGAAGGCATTCTTGTGGTATTTGCTTTTGAATGAACTTATTTTAACATGAAAGGATTTTGTAAACTTAGACATATCCTCTCATCATTCTGGTGGGAAAATAGTGCTTGTAGTTTGGAGATACAACAATTGTCAGTGCCCAGCCCTGATAGCAGTCTGAATATGGCTACTGTTATCTTATCTTTATTTCAAATTATATGTACACAGTCCTCCAGCACAAAAGAATTTTTAGACAGATCATGTCCAGTTTAACTCTCACACCCATATTGTAACCTGTCACAAGGGTGGACACACAGTTGAAGTAGGCAAGGGTAAATAGTTGCTGTGTTTTCTAGCATTATTGCTTTCATTGATAAGCTTGTAATCCTGTCAAACAGACAGTTTGAAAAGAGGTCAATACTCTGTAGTTAAATTAGTCTAATACATGTGATCATGAAATGAAATATAAGGGGTTTTAAAAAGCTTGGTATATAGGAGAAAAAGTTTTGAAAAAATTTGTTGTATGCAAAAAAAAAAAAAGAATTTGCTGATTATCAAAAAATATTTATGGAAAGGTTGAGATAATTGCTAATGGAAAATGTTTAAGGAGACTAAAATTAGTTATAATGTGCTGATTGTCTTCTTAACTTTTTGGCATTTAAAAAGGGCAAAAAATTAAATCTGTCCCTCAAATATAAATTGGTATTTTTCATAAAAATTTTCCTTAATCTTGGCAGTGCAGTAGTTACAAAGAATGCATTTTAAATAAATTTGATTTTATATTTTACTCAGAACAGCTTGCCAGGGAAGGGAACTATTATTGCATAAAATAAATGTAAGGCCTGTGAATGGCTTATATATATTTGTGGGGAATTTGTTTAATTAGAAGAACTGTTTAGGTATTTTCTGTATTTAGAACAGGTCACATAGAGAAATTTCACCTTACAATAAGGAGAAGATATGCCATCTATTCAGCTTGCTAGGTCATCACACAAAGTTCTGTAATGATCCATATTACATAGGTCAAGTGCATTTTTGCTTATTTGTGAAAAGAGAGTTTTACATAAAAATTACTACATTGTGAACTGTGAATGCATTTTGTTGTACATGGTTTGTGCACACAGAACTGGGGTACAGTAAAACTGGTTTTATAGATAAATCTACCATATGTTGCAGTACCTTTGCAGGAAGTGAGCAGCTTTTTAACAGTTTACCGATTTGCCAGTTTACAAATTTTTTGTGTGTGTGTGCATTTATATATATATATATATATACACACACACTGATGATACTATGTGGTTAGCTAAAGCCATCGTCCATCTAAATATTTATTATTGTGAATTGGACATTATTCAAGAGCTTTACAAAGGAGGCTATTGTGATGCTGGCTACTGAGCCATAAGGTTGTTGTGTATATTGGAATGGCTCCTTAAATGGTTGCTGTGTCACCAGAAACATCAACATGGAATATCTGTGTTTCATGTTGCCTTTTTCCAAATGTCCTTGTGCTAAGACACATCCTGGTGCCAGGAAGACAGTAAGGAAACCCTCTGCAACAGGTGAGGTCATCACTGGAGGACCCTCATTCCTCTTTGCCTGTAGTCTGGTCAGGTTCCTTGCATGGAAATTTAAGTAAGAAAATGATCCGTACCTTGTATGGAGGATAAGATACTGGTTTTGCTGTAAATTGAAAATATATTTTCCATTTTCAAACAGACTCCATTAGACCTTTTATAGTTGCTATATGAAAGGAGAGGAAGAAATTATTTGCTCGGTTCAATTATTGTTGGTGTTGGTGGCGAGAGCGGGAGTCACCCTGTGTTGCTTGAGGAGGAACACCTTCACTACCGAGTGGCGCAATAAAATGGTAAAATATTAAGATGGCAATTATTGAAGGTGTTTATTCATGTATGTCTTCAGTTTATTTATTCACTGTTTTCCTGTAATATTATAAGTTGCAGGCAGTGCTGAAGTAAAATTATACATCCTAGATAACGCCATTGCAGTTACATAGTGAATTGATTAGTGTCAAAAGGAATTTTTTGTTTGCATTTATTTCTAAAGACCGCTAGTGTAATGAATCAAGATATAATCAGCTGGAAATGAAATGTACGTAAAGTTGGAAAAGCAATAAACTAGTATGCACTCATGTCAAAGTTTTCACAACTTATTTGGCCATTGTTTTGCAAAATTGTCCAAACACTTGAATTGATTTCCTTAAAAAGTGTCTTTTTCACTTTGTATATGTAAGGTTTCATTTAGTGTAATTAACAGATGTTACAATTTCATTGTTTTTTATTATCATTATTATTTGAAACATTATGACATTACAAAAATTGTCTTCTTTACAAGATCTTGTACTTTGTACTGCTTGGAATTTAATGTAAATGCTATGAATTACAATTAACTGGATTAATCAGATTAAGGTATGGCATCTTGGTATTCTGACATTTGAAGCACTCATTATACTCTTTCATTAAATTGAGGTCACTTAATTTAGAACAGGTGATGCTAGTAAATAAAGCTATTGATAAAAATGGGAAAGGAAACAGGCAGGGGTAGGTGAAAAGATGCACCTGCAGAAAATAAAAGAGTATAAATAAGGCAACCAGATGCAAACATTTGTTCAGCGACTTGCGGATCAATATGCAGCTATAAATGTTGCAGAAATTCTTATCAGTCTTGTGCATGTAACTTTCCTGTAATTCCCACACACGCCATGTTACCTGGTTATGGAAAGCCTGCAATCTATGATGACATTGGAATATCAATTATTCACCTGGAGAAGTGTTAGGCAAAAATAAGGCATTGGACAATCAATAATTAGTGGCACCTTATTTAGTTGTTGGTGTCACTGGAGGGAAAGAGAGAGAGAGCAGTTAGAGCTATTTGTGATGAGCAACTGCCTCAGTAATTTGTACTACAGCCTTGAGGAAGTTTATTCTGGGGACCCCATGTGACCGCCTCTGTATATAGACAACACTGGCCCAGACCACTTCAGCTTTTGTGAATCATTGACTCCAGTTGTAATTGTTCTATACCTGGTGGTGTGGTGGAGTTTGACCCCCTTATTGGGAGGACCTCACCTAAATGTGTAACTACTGGAATGTTGACTTCCTAATGGCTCTGAAAGGGCCAGATCAAGGTAAAGTATTAATTAGAATGGAAACTTGGAAGATGTAAAACAATCATTTGTGTTTTCTGGGAAATAGTTGGGTGTAGGGGAGCATACTGGGAGAAGGCAGTCCATACCTGTAACAATGTTATCTGAAACTGATGCAGATAATGTCTGCGCACATTGAATGGTGGGACAGATGAACTCTGATCTTGGCTAATATCATGGTTGGCCACGGGCAAATCTGATCATTATTGGACTAAATCCAAATTATTGCTGTTCAGATAAATAAAAAATAATGCAGATATTATTTTCAGTATATTGTGTTGCCCTTGACAATTGTGCTTTAAAAAGGGGGGTTATCAATCATAAGATAAGTATAAGAGTAAGAGATAGGAGACAAAAAGTTCTGTTTGCTGTTTTGGGGTTAATTAGTGCCAAGGCCCCAGATGCAAAAGGATAATATTTTAACAATTAATGAGGTTATACTTTGATTCATTGCCAGTAATTGCATGTCATGTTCACCAACAGTTCTACTTATAACTTCATTTAACAAGATCTCCTTGGAATACTGTGGACTCCATTAATTTTACACCAACAGGTGTTCTAATCAGCATGATGTCATACATTCAATATTTTGTGATGTCACACCCATGTATGCATTGTTATTAGTACAAACTTTAGTGGAGATGTATGCAAATAGTTACTCTGGATTAAAAAGAAAAAGAATTTATGAAATATTTAAGGAACATCACATGATTCACTAAGATGGTTGATATTATATTACTCTGTGGACATGTTTACACACATAACCTAAAATAGAAATGACCTAACACCAGTATTGCTGCATTGTGAATACTACCTCAAATCAATTTCCAGGCACATTAAAACAATCTTTGAAAACATTCATGAAATGAAATGGTACAATAGGGGTTTTATCATAAAAGCTCAGGGACAAATAATGCTGTGTATATATCCAGCAGTCGTTCTCATGGAGGGGAGGGGGGTCTGTTTGAAAACGAAGACTATATGTATCTTCCTGTTTTGGGGAAAACAATATTTTATTGCTGTTAAAAAATGTGGGAAAGTTGAGTATTTGTGTTCATTAATTGAGAGTAAGAATGACGCCTTTGCTTTGTTTATAGTAGTTTCTGTTATGTTAATGTAGCAGATGCCATATAGGTGTTGTTATTTTAAAATTTTGAGCCAAAAAATTAAGGCTATCATGGACATGGGGTTGTAACCAAATAATAACAATGTGTGTTTAAGTTATCTTTATTGTGTAAAGTGCTCTTTTGAGCTCATTGTGTCTGGTTGTGTATGTGCATGTGTGTTTCAAGTGCTTCGACCTACATGACTCTCGATATAAAATAAGTTGTAGATTAACTTGGGTTTTCATGAGGTATTACATCTTGGACAATTTACGGCATGGATATGACATTGAGGATTACTGGTGACATGCATGCGCAGGCCTGTCAAGTATAATGTTTTTTGAGTTCCATATAAAGCAATTGTTCTATGTACAGCGTTCCAATTACACAGAGACTCACTGAATCCAATTAAATTTAAAGATAAACATGCCTCCAACGACAGAAAAACTAGTGATTATATGAGGAAACTTAGAAAACAATTAAGAGGAGGCATGTTAATCTTAGTTAATGTTAGAGCGCATTCAGAACAGATGATCCAAGGACTAACTGATCTGCCAACTAAATATGGCCGACCCCACTTCAAAAGCGATGCCGCCAACTCCTGATGGTCTCCCCACCATATTTAGTCGGCAGATCAGTTAGCCTGCAGATTATCTGTTGTGAATAAGCTCTTATTTTCATTGAGAATGAGTCCATAGATATACACATTTAGGTGTCTACATGTCAGCAGTCTCCACTAAAATTTGTGCTCTGTGCATGCTCAGTTTAAAGTTATGTGCATGGGCATCCACTTCCCCATTTGAATGTTATTTCAGCAGTGGCGCCTCTCATGCATTTCACGTTAACAATCTTAGCTGCCACAAGTGTGCTCAATTTGATATAAGCATAAGTGGATGCTGTTTGTAAACTGTGTCTCTCAAAGGGTAACGCAATGTTTCCCAGGTTTATATTTCATTTGGAAGCAGGCAACTTTATGCAAGTTTTGCAAGAAAAAAAGGAGCAGAGACATTTAATAAATGTTTCTCAAAAGATGGTTTTTAAGCAGAATCATTAGTTTAACATCACATATTTTCTGAAACCCCATTGAGCTCCCCTGCATAGCTCTTTGGTCTTTGATTGATTTGTGATTTATGATGTGTTAATCTTAAGCAAAGCACGCCCATGTCTCTCATTGATAACATTTCTGTCCTTGCAAAGGGTTTCAATTATTTCTTTTATTGCAAGTTGGCTAGGTAGTAAGATACTACAGATATTAAATTAGAGCACACATGGACAGTGAAGGGAAGAGTTTGGAAGCTTATTTAGGTACAAAACTGTGCAGATAATCTTATGGGTAAATAATATCTTTTCAGAAAAATCGGTGTAGTACCATTACAAATGATGAATCAGCCAATTTTTAGATCTTATGGCAACTTTTATGGAGGTTGCAAATGTAACATTTTTTACAAAAAATGACAACTTAAATGATTTATGATAAAAACTTGAGATGACTTGATGTAAATTCTTTATGAAGAAATACTCTATTTATATTTGATAATTATACATATATGTCATTTTGTATATCATTACATATAAGGTATTAACTTTTTTTTTCTTTTCAGATCGGNAAAAAAAGGAGCAGAGACATTTAATAAATGTTTCTCAAAAGATGGTTTTTAAGCAGAATCATTAGTTTAACATCACATATTTTCTGAAACCCCATTGAGCTCCCCTGCATAGCTCTTTGGTCTTTGATTGATTTGTGATTTATGATGTGTTAATCTTAAGCAAAGCACGCCCATGTCTCTCATTGATAACATTTCTGTCCTTGCAAAGGGTTTCAATTATTTCTTTTATTGCAAGTTGGCTAGGTAGTAAGATACTACAGATATTAAATTAGAGCACACATGGACAGTGAAGGGAAGAGTTTGGAAGCTTATTTAGGTACAAAACTGTGCAGATAATCTTATGGGTAAATAATATCTTTTCAGAAAAATCGGTGTAGTACCATTACAAATGATGAATCAGCCAATTTTTAGATCTTATGGCAACTTTTATGGAGGTTGCAAATGTAACATTTTTTACAAAAAATGACAACTTAAATGATTTATGATAAAAACTTGAGATGACTTGATGTAAATTCTTTATGAAGAAATACTCTATTTATATTTGATAATTATACATATATGTCATTTTGTATATCATTACATATAAGGTATTAACTTTTTTTTTCTTTTCAGATCGGACCAGTCTGAGTTCACAACCTGATGACACACCCAGGGAGCTGGTCAGATGTGAGTGTTGTTGACATTGTAAACACTGGCTTTGAAATCACCTTTAAATTGTAAAATCTTATATTTTGTGTCAAGTTTGAGTTTAAATATTTGTATAAAGTTTAATTTGCATATATGTGATTATTTTCTTTTAATCCCTGAATTATAATGTCCATTTTAATGATGATTTCTGCATTTTTGATCATTTTTCCATTTTTTATTTAACCACTTAGTTCTTGGTGTGAATGATAAGTTTGTTGGAACATTTAACAGTTTGTCACTAATTTTGCTGGGGAGACTCCTAAAAATCTGTAAAGAACAAGGTGGCATTCCCCATTTTGTTTGCTAAGCTGTAGCATGAAGCACACCATGGATGTGCTGTAGCTAGCAGGTGTTCCTGATTATATTATAACACATCCTGGGTAAAGGCATATGCTCAGTTAATTCAACATTTGTGCTTTCATCAATTGTTCTTGAGAAGTTTGTATAGAAATATTTTTGTTTGCATGAATATTGATTTTGGAATTATTTTGATGTTGAGCAAAAGTTCCTAGAACTTTTGTCTTTTCTAAAAAAACTAAGGGTGGAAATTTATGGGGATACATTAAGAATTGATCAAAAACCTTAAAATATGTACAGGAACAAACTTTTTACCATCAAAACAATTTAACTAGAATCTGAAACTGGAGAAGAACATGAAAGGTACTTTACAGCCACAATCCTTATTGGTATATATCTGAGATAGTAGTGGCTGTACACATTATGATTATGGCCCAGTAGTCTGTGCCATTTAAACCCACGCCTCCCAGTCAATGTATTATACAGCTGACTCATAGGAAAGGTTAGCAGTCAGTTTGGAAGCTTCTCCACTGTAATATTTGCCAAGTAAAATAGAAAAAGGTAAGCAGAATATGAGGTTCAGGAGCAGATATTGCTAAACTTTGGCCATTGCTTTATGAAATTAAAAATCTTAGTTTTGGAAATGTAAGCATTTTTGGAAAGCTTGTCTGTTTTTTTTAAAAGTAAAAGCTTTAGCGGTATACTTGCTTATGGAGGAGCAAATTAAGTTTATGAAGCAGACAGTGCAACATTTATCATGGAAGAACTGCTCCCAGAAGTAGGGGTCAGCAAAAGTTCTGGGATTTGCTTTTTAGGTTGGGGAGAGGGACAGTAAAAAGGATTATAAATACTAAAGAGAAGAATGGTTTATGTGTCCTCTTTTTCTGGAAAATGTCTAATTCAGTTTGAAACTGTAAATTCTCTGACAAGTGTAGGAAAATGCAACTTTCTTAGAGCATGCCTTATATGTACTGGAATCTATTCCAAGGGGAACTTATAAACTGAGTGGAGGTCTTTGCATATTATGCCCCGTGCATGTAACCCCATGTAAACCTAGCCCTGGAAATTTGTCACTGTTATGTACAGAAATATTAATTATGACCATGATAAAAGGTTCTTTTTTTAAGGATGTAGCCACGCAATATGATCATGCATGATTGCAAACACATACTTATTTATCTAATGAATAGAGAGAGTTTGCCAAGTGTTTTTCCGTGTTAGTCTTTCCACTGTCTGGAACAGCCACTGTAATAAACCTTGTCAATTGGGTGTATTTTTCAACAGAAATGCAAGTGTTAAGAGTATGTTTTTGTAATGTGTCATCTGTAGGTTATCCTGGAAATGGGCATTTTAAGGCCAGCTATGAATTTTTTACCTTTCTCCCTTGTCTGTTATGACTGTGCCATCTTAGTATAACATGATTGCTGTTTTGAATTACAAACATTCCAAACTGATTGGGTTTGCCTAAGCCTGGGGCCTTTTAGTTTTATTTCTAGTTCTTTCAAGTGAGAATTACACATAGCACAGGTAAGAAAATGATTTTTGCAAAACTTAAAGGCTATTTATCCGGAATCCAGGTATTCTGTTTCCTTCATGGGGAAGTTTGTGCATTTCATAATGTAGACAGAGGAATGTGAACTATTTGCTAGAATGTGAATCATTAAGGTAGGAGTAGGTAGGTAGTGAAATACCACTTCAGAAGTCAACACTGACAGAGTGAGATACTACATGTCAAGACGTAATAGGTCTGTTAAGGATCATCTAATAAAATATCACTAACTGTCATTCTACTCCTTCAACTCTGCCATTGCTTATATTTTTAATTGCATTTATAGAAATGGTCTACTGGCATTCTCAGCTGCATTTGTGACCATGTCTGTAGATGAAAGAAATGGAGGAATATTCTGTGATAATATATCAGAATATCCACTTATGAAACTTGTACTTAAGCATATTAATTTTATGTATTAAGATTAGAAATTAACCTGCCACAGATGTTCTCTCCTTGTCATTCTGACAGAGGTGGGCGACATTTACATGCTCTGTTTCAGGTTTTCTGCACTTTTTTGCATATTTTTCCAGCCTATAAATAATGTTGCTTTATACATGTCTTTATCTCCCAGCTGACCTTATATATTGATAGGGACTCAGTAGGGCAACTGGAATACAACTTCTTCCTTACGCAGCTCAAAAGCAAACCTATCTTCTCCCGTCTTAAAGAAATGTTCTTCTCCATGTATCTGAAAGAAATAGGCTGGCTGGCATTTTGGTGGTGTAGTGATTGCTGGATTTGTCTGGGATCACAGACTGCACACCAGGCAATAGAAAAACAGGGTTACAGTTTATCTTGGTGCTACTGGGGATTCTACAAATTATACGCTTTTTTTTTTTCTCAGCCCAGACTTTTGGATGGTTCGAATTTGTAGCTGCTTAAAGTGAAGTAATTAAAAAATAATTTTGTATCATGTAGTGAAAAAGAAATATTCGAATCAAACAAGAAAATGCTTTACTGACTATTTGGCTTTGCTAGGATCTGGCTATTAGTCTGAATAAAACCTGGCTTTTTTCGTGATTAATGCTTGGCCATGGTTGGTGTAAAAAAATACCTGTGTAGGCTGTGTGCTGGATTTCATAGGAACTCAGGTGAAAACAACTCATATCCCCTAACAGCTGATCATTTGTTATCGCCACTCTTTGCCAACTTAATTTCGCAGGAAGGAGACTGGAGTGGATGGTTTGGCACCAAGACCTTAAGCTCTTTGTTGAGTCTCACAAAGTAGTTAAAAGTTATTATTATTA